GAATAATGATATGGGGAGGCGAGATCCAACATCCAAGAGAGATTTGTATTCCTAATATACAGTATATCTTGAAATGGCCTCTCTGAAGAAATCAAACAAAACTAAGAAAAAATACTAAACAACATATTGTATATCACTAAATGGATAAGCCGTGATCCCATGAAGATATAAGATACCAATACGATCTGTTTCGCTGACCAATTGTGATATGATACATCAGTCAAAACCCACCGATGCCTTGATGTATATACTGATAAAGAGAGAAAGAAAGAAGTCTCATCCAATAGCACATTTTATAGTCCCTGGGCCTCCCAAAATCATGTTTAGCCTGTGTTTCAAAATCTGATTCACTTGAACAATTTCTACGTACTCATAAATACTGGCTCACTGGAATGCCCCTTATCTCATTTTTCAGTTGTGCACTATCAGTATGCAAAAAAGAATTCCCCACTGTGTCTTTTCTGAAGAGGTCGGTAGAGATATTACCATCTAAATTTTTTTATTAATAGTCAAGTCCAAACAATGTAGAGATGTGTGATGAAAGTTAAGAGTGAACTGAAGGTTCCACTCATTGTTATTCAAACAATTAACAATCAATAAATCTTGGGATCCTAGCCATAGTATTAGTATATCATCGATATACCTCCTCCATAAATATACATGGTGGAGATAATGCATCATCATATCAGAACCAAAAATCAACTGCTCCCACCCCCACAGGTAAAAGTTAGCACATGATGGGGCACATATGGTCTCCATGGCTGCTCCCTGCACTTGAAGATAGTGGGAGCGGTAGAAAATAAAAGTATTGTGTGTCAAAATAAATTCTAACAATTTCAGAATGAAGGTGTTCTATGGATAGTATTCTCTACTTCTCTCCTTCAAGAAAGTCCCCACCACTGTTATACCTATATTCTTTTTGTCTCAAAGTAATTTGTATAGTTTGATGGTTCTTTTTGTCTCAAAGTAAGTGCTTTAGTGATTGTACAACCAAAACCTGGGGGTAGGTGGTGACCAGGTATGTTAGATGTGCCATAGATTGTGCCTTTTTATGTGAGTGCATACTTGCTTTTAACACTAAACATTTTATTAGGATCTACACTGTGAACTTTGTTCTCCCTTTCTCTGAGGCAACCTTCCACAGCTTCTGATTTTATATTGTGTGAGCAATATAAGGCTTCTGTTGCTCCTGTACTGGGGCCCCTCAGTGAGGTAAACTTACACCTTTGAGGGTCTCCTGGTGATGGTATACTGTAGATATTTTTTTTTTTATTGAGATATATATATATATATATATATATATATATATATATATACACACACACCATATTGCCAAAAGTGTTTGGACACCCTTAATCATTGGATTCAGGTGTTCCAATCACCTCCATGGCCACAGGTGTATAAAATCAAGCACCTAGGCATTCAGACTGCTTCTACAAACATTTGTGAAAAAATGGGTCTCTCTCAGGAGCTCAGTGAATTCAAGCGTGGTACTGTGATAGGTTGTCACTTGTGCAATAAGTCTATCCGTGAAATTTCCTTGCTACTAAAATATTCCACAGTAAAATGTTAGTGGTATTATAACAAAGTGGAAGCAACTGGGAACAACAGCAACTCAGCCACGAAGTGGTAGGCCACGTAAACTGACAGAGCGGGGTCAGCGTACGCTGAAGTGCACAGCGCGCCGAAGTCGCAAGCTGTCTGCAGAGTCAATAGCTAAAGACCTCCAAACTTCATGTGGCCTTCAAATTAGCACAAGGAGCTTAGAGAGCTTTATAGAATGTGTTTCCATGGCTGAGCAGCTATATCCAAACCGTACATCACCAAGTGCAATGCAAAGCATCGGAAGCAGTGGTGTAAAGCGCGCCACCACTGGACTCTAGTGCAGTGGAGATGTGTTCTCTGAAGTGACAAATCACACTTCTCTCTCTGGCAATTCGATGGACATGTCTGGGTTTGGCGCTTGCCAGGGGAATGGTACTTACCTGACTGCATTGTGCAAAGTTTTGTGGAAGGGGGATAATGGTGTGGGGTTGTTTTTCAGGGGTTGGGCTTGGCTTTACCCCCTCGTTCCAGTGAAGGAAACTCTTAAGGCATCAGCATACCAAGGCATTTTGGACAATTTCCTGCTCCCAACTTTGTGGGAACAATTTGGGGATGGCCCTTTCCTGTTCCAACATGATTGCGCATCAGTGCACAAAGCAAGGTCCATAAAGATACAGATAAGTGAGTTTGGGGTGCAGGAACTTGACTGAGCAACAGAAGCCTTATATTGCACAGAGTCCTGACCTCAACCCGCTAGAACACCTTTGGGATGAATTAGAGCCAGGCCTTCTCTTCCGGCATCAGTGCCTGACCTCACAAATGTGCTTCTGGAAGAATGGTCAAACATTCCCATAGATACACTCCTAAACCTTGTGGACAGCCTTCCCAGAAGAGTTGAAGCTGTTATAGCTGCAAAGGGTGGGCCCACTCAATATTGAACCCTATGGACTAAGACTGGGATGCCATTAAAGTTCATGTTCTTGTAAAGGCAGGCGTCCCAATACTTTTGGCAATATAGTGTATGTGTATATATTATTATACAGTATTTATAAAGCGCCAACAGTTCACTCAGCACTGTATATTACAAAGGGAGACAGAACATGTGACAGTACGAAAACAATACAATGTGATACACGAGGGGTTCGAGGACCCTGCTCTTTGGAGCTTACAATCTAGGAGGGAGGGGAGAGTGGTACAGGAGGAGATAGCTGTGGGGAATGGAGTGGTAGGAAGAGTGGAGGAGGTCGGCAATTAGCAGGGGGTGGGGTAGGCTTCCCTGAAGAGGTGGGTTTTCAGGGTGCGCCTAAATGAGAGGAGAGTAGGTGATAGTCTGATGGATTGGGGTAGGGGGTTCCAGAGGATAGGTGATGTCCTGGAGAAATTCTGGAGGAGGAGACCAGGAAACTAGAGAGAAAGAGGTCTTGAGAGGAGCGGAGTGTGCATGTTGGGTGTTACTTGGATATTAGGTTGGTGATGTAGTTTGGGGCAGTATGGTGGACAGCTTTGTATGTAAATGTTAGGATTTTGAATTTGATCCATTGTGCAATCGGAAGCCAGAGGAGGGATTGGCAGAGGGGGGTGGCGGAAACGGAGCAGTTGGTGAGGTGAATGAGTCTGGCTGCCGTGTTCAGGATCGACTGAAGTGGGAATAGCCTGTGGTGAGGCAGGCCAGTGAGGAGGGAGTTGCAGTAATCAAGTCATGATATGATGAGGAAGTGGATGAGCTGTTTATTGGTTTCTGGGGTTAGAAACGTACGGATTTTGGCGATGTTGCGGAGGTGGAGTCTGCATGAGTTTGTTAGTGATTGGGCTTGGGGCTGGAAGGATAGGTTGGAGTCCAGAATGACACCGAGTACTCTGGCCTGCGGGGTGGGCCTGATAGTAGCATTGTTGGACGTGATGGGGAAGTCAGTGGGGGTGGTGTGCGAGCTGGGGGGAAGACTAGGAGCTCGGTTTTGGAGAGGTTCAGTTTAAGGAAGTGGAGCGACATCCAGCCTGATATGTCGTTTAGTAGGTTTGTGATTCGGGCGGAGACAGAGGAGGTGAGGCGAGGGGTAGAGAGATAGATTTGTGTGTCGTCGGCATAGAGGTGGTAGTTGAAGCCGTGAGAGTGTATGAGTTGGCCAAGGGAGGAGGTGTAGATGGAGAAGAGAAGGGGCCCGAGGATGGAGCCTTGAGGGACCCCAACAGAGAGGGGGAGCGAGGGAGAGGTGGTAGCATTATAGGTAACACTGAAGGAGCATTGTGATAGGTAGGACAAGAGCCAGGAGAGAGCAGAATCTCTGAGGCCGAGGGAGCGTAGTTTTTTGAGGAGGAGGGGGGGGGTGGTCGACTGTGTCGAAGGCAGCAGAGAGGTTGAGGAGTAGGAGCACTGAATAGTAGCCATTAGCTTTGGCAGTTAGAAGGTCGTTGGAGAGTTTGAGTAAGGCAGTTTCGGTGGAGTGTAGGGGACGGAAGCCGGACTGTAGGGGATGGAGGAGGTTGTTGTTGTTGAGGTGAGAGCTTAGGCAATTGTAGACTAAGCGCTCGAGGAGTTTGGATGAGAATGGGAGCAGGGAGATGGGTCTAAGGTTGTTCGGGTCGTTGGGGTCCAGGGAGGGCGTTTTAAGTATGGAAGTGATGTGCGCGTGCTTCAGAGGGGAGGGGAATGCGCCGGAAAAGAGGGAGAGATTAAAGATGTGGGTGAGGGAGCGTAGGATGGAGGGGGAGGGAGGTCGTAGGAGTTGTGAGGGGATAGGGTCGAGGGGGCAGGTGGTGAGGCGGGCATCAGAAAAGACCTTGGTGACCTCCTCGATGGTAGTAAGATCGAAGGTGTGGAGTGTGTAGGGGGCTTCAGTGTGAGGAATGATAGGTGTGGAGGTCAGAGCAGTGGTGAGGCCGAGGGAGAGGGGTGATGAGGGGGTAGCTGTGTAAGAGGGGACGGGTTTGGAGGGAGTTTGAGGAGCGGCGATGTCCTTGCGAATTGTGTCAATCTTGTTTTTAAAGTGATTGGCAATCTCAAGGGCGGTGAGTGAGGTGCTGGGTGGAGGTGGGGGCGGAGAGAGTAGAGAGTTAAAGGTGGAGAAAAGTCGGCGAGGATTGGAGGAGAGGGTCTTGATGAGGGTCAGGAAGTAGGCTTGTTTGGCAGCGTGGAGGGCGGAGGTGTATGTGTGGAAGGCAGATTTATAGCGGGTGAAGGCTTGTTGGGATCTGGTTTTGCGCCATAGTCGCTCCAGGGCACGACTGTGTTGTTTGAGAGTTTTGGTGTGATCAGTCTGCCAAGTTCATATACACATAAACATTTTCATTTAATATTTTTGTTTATAGCACTGCACTAATTGATAAACACATAATATTACGTGTAAATTGATTGGTTTACGTGAAAGTTATAGCATTTACAAATGGCAGAATATATACTAGGATTCTGTTTAGTTTTTATTTTTACTAGTAATGGCGGTGACCAGCGACTTAGGACTGCGAGACTACGGCGGGCATTCTGACACTGGGGGGAACTGACTTGGTGTCACTGACATCCCCGGTGACACCAATACAGTGATCAATGCTAATAAAAAGCATTGACACTGTACTAACAAAACTGGGCAGGAAGGGGTTAACATGTGGGGTGATCAAAGGGTTAACTGTGTGCTATGTGCTGTTTTACTGTATGCTGTGTGTGTGCTTCACTGTAAGCACACTGGTTTGCATGACTCTGCTATGCAAATCCATGCATAGCAGTGGGCAGGAGTTGACGGGGGAGAGAACTGTATTATTTACTTACAGTTCTCTCCCTCCGTCGGTAATGCTTCTCGATCACTAGATGCTGGCGAGTAACCTGGTGATTGACAGCTGAATAGCGGCGCCGGTAGGGCACGCATGTACCCGGAAATGCAAAATCACGTATATATATATGTGATTTTGCACATCCGTGCCTCCCTGTAGCAGTATTACTGCTATAGGGTGGGCGGGAAGTGGTTAAATTTATGTATGCTGTATTGTATATAGAAAGTTAAAGAGATAGAGAGAGAGAGATCCAGCATGTCCCTCTAAAAGAGGTCAATCAAACAAGGGACAGCCACCCACTGATCGAAATTTGGCCAGTCTCTGCTCAACTGGCTGAATTTCGCTCCATCTATGGCCAGGTTGATTCTCCAGAGATACAGAACGGTGAGTGAATGTTTTCACCCTAGGTGAAGAACTGTATTATCAGCTGAAATGAAAGGAAAATAAGCCCTGAAAAATAAAAGCAAAGCAGCCTCTACGTTTTAGGACTAATAAGCTGCAATATATTACATTTTTGTTCTTAGCTTTAGATATACTTTAGGCCAAGGTTCAAAAGGACTAGTTTACCAATATTATAAGTGCAAAAAGCCAGAGTAATCCAGCAAGAGTCTATTGTCCTGTGTATTAGTTATAATTTGCAAAGCAAAATCCATCAGGGGCTAAAGTTTAAAGATGTAACAGCTCTTCTGACCTCTCAAATCAGCAAATGACTGGTCTCTGATCCCCAGTCTAAAGGTGATTCCTATATTACTCATCTGTTGTAGTACTGTACAAAGTAACATATTTACTTTAGTCTCATATTGATTTGCTTCTACAATCTGAGGCTGGTGTCCCAGTGAATGAGTGGAATGCTATTGACTGCTATAGAATGCTAAACATCTTTATGTAATGAGACTCCGTACTACGTTAAAAGTAATGCAGGCCATAGACGGTTCGTTTATCAGCTGAACTTTTGGCCGAAAAACGAAGAATCTGTTGTTCTGTTGCCACCAATGATTACGAAAATCGGACGTTTTTCGTAAATTTTCCACCATGACCGATAAAAGAAATGAGGAGGAACTGCAAAAATCGGCCGATGACATTGCCCCACTAGCGGTGCGAATATCGGCCGATTATTCTTTCGGACGAAATTCAGCCGATAAACTAACTGTCTATGGCCTGTATAAGGAAAGGCAAAATGTGCACAGCAGGCACCATTGTGTGCTTGCACGTTCCCCTTTTATGCTGCCTGACCCACCATTGAAACCCTAAAAAATTCCCAGTACTCCCGGGAAGTAGGGGGACGCATGATACTTCTTCCTGCCTCCCATCGCATAGAATTAGCTAAGCTCTGTCACATAGGGAGAGCAGTCCTAGTCATGTTCAGATTTTATCCTTCAGAAAGAAGTTAGACAAGACAGACTTTGGGAAGTACACTCCCATTGGCTCTGTGAAGTGTTCTCTGAATTCTGGCTTCAGTGGATCACACAGTTGTTAGATTAATGTAAATTATTTTAGCACAGTTTCTGTGCTTGCATGTTAGCACTGGTAGCTCACTGACTGCTTGGAATTGTCTCTCATGCACACAATTCTAAATTATAATTTAAAAAAGTCCCTTTTAAATAATATTCCATAGTTTAGTTTTACTAATTCACGCATGAAAGTATTTGCTTCTAAATACTAGTAGGCCTTGAGGGGTGAATACTAAAAATGTTAGCAGAGCTGGTATATCATTTTACATTTAAGCGTCTATATTAACTGCCTTCACGTGTCTCACATACACACCCATCTAAAGGTGCAAGATTTCTCTTCTACTTTCCCTGCAAGTTGTGGTGATTACGAAGTAAAAATACACACAGAAGTGTGAGAGGCAGATAAAGTAAGTAATGCTAAAGATCTCATAATACACTGCTGAAAAAAAATGAAAGGAACACTTTGAAACACATCAGATCTCAATGGGGAAAAATCTCATGCTGGATATCTATACTGATATGAACCAGGTAATGTGTTAGGAATGTAAGGATGCCCCATCGTTTGATGAAAATTAAAATGATCAACCTACAGAGGACTGAATTCAAAGACACCCTGAAAATCAAGGTGAAAAAATGATGCAGCAGGCTAGTCCATTTTGTTGAAATTTCATTGCAGCAACTCAAAATAGTACCCAGTACTTGGTATGGCCCCCATGTGCTTGTATGCATGCCTGACAACATCGGGGCATACTCCTAATGAGACGATGGATGGTGTTCTGGGGTATTTCCTCCCAGATCTGGAACAGGGCATCACTGAGCTCCTGGACAGTCTGAGATGCAACCTGGCAGAGGTGTTCTATTGTATTTAGGTCAGTCTTTCCTTCCAGATCTGGATCAGGGCATCACTGAGCTCCTGGATAGTCTGAGATGCAACCTGGCGGGGTCGGATGGACCGAAACATGATATCCCAGAGGTGTTCTATTGGATTTAGGTCAGGCAAGCGTGGGGGCCAGTCAATGGTATCAATTCCTTCATCCTCCAGGAACTGCCTGCATACTCTCACCACATGAGGCCGGGCATTGTCATGCACCAGGAGGGACCCCGACCCACTGCATTCAAATCAGTGCAACTCCGACTTTGGTGTGCAGAACCGATTTTGAAAAAAGGTTCCTGCACTATTTTTGGTGATTTCATGTGCAACCTACATAGACATTTGTGCATGAAGTCGTACAAATGTCAGGCAAACTGCACATGAAATCGCACTGACCAGAAGCTGTGAAATCGAGCTACTTAAAGTGAAGTAGTGCGATTTCAAAGCTGCGTTTAGTGTGAACCAGGGCTAAGAGAAGCTCAGTGGGCCCCAGAAGAAACAGCAAGAGAGATGTTGGCAGAGTCAAAAGAATTGGATCCCTCTTCTGTCACCGCTGTTAGAGGGTACACTGACATGTAAGTGTGTGCTATAATGTGTAAATGTTGTCCACTTTAACACTTAACCCTTAAAGGCAAACTTTGTAAAAAAATATGCCATACATCTTTGCAATACATGCATTAGTCCAGTGGCGTTCAACCCATTGCCCGCGGGCCATATGTGGCCCTGGGAGCCCTCTGATGTGGCCCTCGACCTGAAACTGAATGTAGGAGTTTTGGTCCACTTTCAGAATGTGCACCACACTTGCACTTTGTAGTAGTAGTCTATGGCAAAGCAGTTAGCCGCAGGAAAGCCACAGGTGCACTGTGCTGCATCCACGTTGTGGGTAAACCGCAGCATGTCAGTGTGAAAGCAGCTCTATAGGGGGCTCAGGACAGCAAGGGCTCATTTACATTTGCTGTTTGGGGCCTGTGCGCCCTTCTTGTCATATTTTTTTTTACACTTGGACAGGAGGGGTGGCATATAAAGGAACAGATCCTCTCCATTTTCCTCCTGCAACTTCAGAAAGCCAGTTTCTCCTCTTCTTCTACACAGCAAAATTCAGTGGCTGCAGGAGGAAGATGTTCATTATGCTATTCAAAATTTGAAATTTGAAATACTGGTTAAGAAATCACTTAATTGGCCCTTGCTCTTCAAAAGGTTGAGTATCCCTGTATTAGTCTTTCTTTATTCTTTCTAAATACAGTACCTTGCAGGAAAAATATCTGTTGATCTGACAAAAATGCACTCAGCTCCTAAGTCCTGTTGTGGGTTGACAACATACAGCATTTTGTTGGATAGAGTGGTGTCAGCCCTGTTCAGTTGTTTTTTGCTAAACAATTTAACGGCTTCCATTCTTTGATCTTTACAATTTTCATTTCAATCATTTTTTATTTGGTTTACCATTGAAAAAGCAAGTGACACATGCCAGTATGGGGATATGGATAACAGTACATTCAATACAAATGAAATAAACAGCAGTTACCGTTGCTGATCACATTAGCAGGAAGTTCCAAGAACATTAGCCATAGGATAAGCTTAGGTGACAAGGTGAGTTAACCCATAGTCCTAATTCTAAATGAGCCAAGTTGAGCTACAGTAAAACTACATACATACAACTATCTGACTGAATATTATCCATAAGGTCGCGGGATCACCCCATCCTCATGGCATAAAAGTATCACTTGTGTTGAACCATGTGTGAATAGTAGAAGGAACCAGAGTCCCAACACAGAAACCAACTACTTTAAGAGTAGGAAGAGTTTGTAGGAAAAACAAATGAAGGAAAATAGAAAAGTGCAAAGGTGCATCCATCCTGGGATCCAACGCCAACAGGTCTTGGAGCAATTCCTAGACGTCTGGAACCAGACCAGGGACCAGAGCCAGGTATTCCCCACTATTTCAAAGATGGTTTGTTAATCTTGTAGGACACTCACAATCTTTTAATTGAGCATGCTCCATGTCAATTTATGCTTTATCAAGGCCAGATCAATCACTGGACTTTTCCAGGCTGTTACTATGGCAATCTTGGCCACCTGGAACATAAAATGGATAAAAGTCTATGAGTGTCTCGGGATATCAGCCACTGGGGCATTCAGTAGTGCTGTCCGAGCATCCTTGGGGTAGCTGACCATAGTAACTGAATGTATAAGAGAGTTGACCCTTATTCAAAAGCAACGTACCTTAGGACAGGTTGATCTTTACAATTTCAAGGCCAATAGTTCTGTAGTCCAAGGTAAGAACTAGGTGGGTCCATTAAGTCTTGTCCTGGGTCCTCTGTATACAGGGCAGCTCTGATTTTTCTTTGTATGTATGTATTGAAGAGATATAACGAAATGTTTCCAATGCTATATTTAGCAGACCAAAAAAGACTAAAGGAGAGGAGATGGTCGTTAAGATTTACAGAAACTTTAACCTACAACCTGACTATGTACTTATTTACATACTTATTTTATCTGATGCCAAAGCTGTTATCTCTGAAAGATCACTGTCCCAGGTCAATATGACACAGTCCTTGAAACGTTAGCTGCATAGCTATCATAACATTCTTTTGGTTTCGATACTTTTTGAGTCTCTGAAACAGGACAAGTGAACTAAGAACATAGGCTCACCCCCAGAACTATGTCTCCCAAGAGCCTGTGGCTCTCTCTCGAGTCCCAGGCTCTTAGGAGTCAAAGCAGCAGCATTTTTTAACTGCAAAAAAAAAAATAAAAAATTTGGAGTGGGACAGAGAGGGATCGGGAATAGGCTGAAGTCT